GTGGCAGTTACTTTGCACTGATCACCAAGGAGTGAAGTGTTCTGAAGCTTGGGATTATTGAGAAATTTTTTTTTGATGAAATCAATGAGTTCCTCTCTACAAAGCCAAATATCACTTTAGTGAAACTTCATGATAGTAGCAGTCATCCTCTTACAAGATCCAATGGTTCTGGCAATGGTTCTTGTAGCAGCAACTTTGGCACCAATATTGAAAATGAAGAAAGAGGCATAGCAAAAGAAGTCCACAGTCCACTGCTGTAGCAGAAAAACTTAGGCGACAAAGAAGTTGAATTGACTGGCCAAGCAAAGAAGAAGGCAAGAAGGAGCAATCTCCTTGCATTAGCTGATGCCCTCAAGGAAGGGAATGAGGCATCACTAAAGATGTTCACCGCTACCAAAGAGATGAGATTGAAGATGCATCAAGAGCAAATAGAGTTTGAAAAAGAGTCCATCCATCTCGAGCAAAATCAATTAGCCATGGAGTAAGAGATAAACCTTGGCATAATCACAGCTTTAGTTGCAATAGCATCTGTGATCCAGTAAGGTAGGATAGACATATTCATGCTAGATTCAATTGGTATTTTCCTTCCTAGCAATTCTTTTTTGGTTAATAGGTTTGCATTGGGGAGCAAAAAATAAAAACCTAAATAAAGATAGTTAATATAGATAGTTTATGTTCTTTTCTTTCTCAAAATGCTGTTATATTTTTAGGAAATGGATCCCCTCCACCTTGTGTTGTTGGTCTTGGTTATACACCATTTGATATCAATATAAAAAAGGGATCAAGAGTTCTGAGCAAGGTAGCAACAAATAGAAAAGAAGAGAAGATAAGTTGTAGATAGCTTAGTGGAAATGGATAAATAGGAGCAGAAACAATTGATACCACTGTGGTCTTTCACTCTCATGTCATGGCTACTACATCAAGCTCTCAATAACCACAACTAGAACAGATTTGGTAGGTGAAACTGTGATCAACAATGTGGTTTGATAGGTTCGTGAATAAATATTATAATGACAAGCGGTGGTTGGAATGAAGAAGCAAACTTTTAACAATTGTAGCGCACTTTATCTCTCTCCCCTTAAGCCAACTGGAAAAGGGGCAATTGCTTGATGAGAGAGCCCTTAGTGGCTATTTTATCCCCATTTATCCCCCAAGGTTCCAAGGATCCACGGTGACAGTATATCCAAATCTCATCCCATGATCACATGCACTACAACAATTTAGTTGATTGTTTGCATGACTCAATCATGAAGTAGAACACACACTACCACATGGCTATACCAATTTGTGTTTGTTTTGCATGTGCCATCTATAAGTTTTGGCATGGATCCAAGCTCTTTTTATTTTCCAAGAGGTTTGGGATTGGGAAGAGTACAACATTTGAAGTTATCAAGGAGACATGTGCAGTGATTCTTGAAGTCTTTACAGGTGTGATCAAGTTTTTAACATCATCCTCAGATCTAGAAAAGGTTATAAATGGATTTCAAAGGATTATAAGACTGTTAAATGTTGCAAGGTGTATAGATAGATCGCAGATAAAAATAGAAAGACTGTGGGATGATCTTGAGGTCACCATTGCTATAGCATCATGTTACAAGCCATTATGGATAGTAAGAAGAAGTTCTTGGATATTTGTTGTGGCTGGCCTAGAATAGTTTATGATGGACGTATGTGGAAAAAAAATGGCTTTCGACAACAAGTACTACTTGGAGAAGTCTTGCAATAACTAGTGATAGAGCTTCTAAAGATCCCAGATGTTAATTTGAAGCCATATCTACTTGGTGATAAGAGGTGTCCTTGCAATATCGCGATTATGACTTCATTCCAACACTTGGTAAATTTAAGTATCTTGAAGTGATTTTTCAATAATGAACTCTCCAAGGCTTAGCAAATTTTTGAGTGTGCTTTTGGTCTTCTAAAAGGTTTGAAATTGTTTCTTCAAGATTTTATTTTCAGGAAAGTTTCAAATCCTAAATAACAAAATCAAAATGCAACCAAGCGATGCTATAGATGTTATTTATGTATGTTACTTGCTACATAACTACTTCATCAATAGTGGAGACGCAAATGTTGATGAAGAAATTGAAGAGTTAAACTCACAATGATAGAGACCATGTTGGAGGTGGCCACCAAAATGAAGCAAATGGAGAGGAGTTATGAGAAAAGCTTCTTAACTATTTGTCAAGAGCTTAAACTTCAAGAGAAATAGTAACTATTTTTTTTTTTTTGGTGTTACATGTGTAAGATCTCATGAAAAACTATAGTAATAAATCATGAATTGCAAGTATTGCTACTATCATCACCAATAAGAGATTCACCACAAAGAAAAATGGAGGCAAGAAAAATTGCCAAGAAGAATGTCTCCACCAAGAATAATCTAACCATTTTCTTAAACAGATTCCTATGATATTGTTAGAGTAAGAGGGAAATTTTGAGCTAGCACTGGATATTTTGATTGGCCACAAATGTTTAGATTGTGCAATTGTATTGTGGCATAGGATTGCCAGCAGTAGCATCACATGGCCGCAATGAAAGATCTTCACTGGGAAATTTCAAGCTAGCACTGGATGTTTTGGGGCATAGATGGTTACCTCTAAATGGCATGCTATAAGGTATGACTAGTAAGCTAATGCTATTATTAACTAATATTGGTGTGAAAAGAATAGCATTAAAATTTTAAATTAGGTTAAAATCTAACCCCCTTAATTATTTTTAAGAGAATGACTGTTTCAAGAATCCAAGGGTAAGAATTCATCTATCTCCCCACATATCGAAAGATTATACCCAGTCTTTTATTACATCCCAATCGTTTTGCGCAAGCACTTTTAAAATAAAAGCTTAATGCAACAGCTGGTGCTTTGCTTCAAAAGTCAATAGTCCAAGTCAATTCCAGCTCGTAATATCATTAGTCCGCCAGAGGCTGCGCTTGCATCAAAGCATGCAGAACTTATTAAGTTTGAGCCACTTGCATTTTCCATATGCCTCGATCAGTAGATTGGCGAGATATCTATCCCAGCGTCCATCTCAGCCAAATGCTTGGAGTCGCCGCTAGCACAAACTAGAAGATTGAGCCAGAGGAGAACAAAATAATGATGGTCATAACTTGCCTAGAGTGCTTGACCAGGTCAATCACTGCGGGACATTGGAAATGTGGGGGAATTTGCTGCCACGCGGGTGATTGATCTGGAAATCTGGGAGAGAAGGACAGATACGTCAGCACTTTGATGATCAAGATTTTTGTTATTCATTTGGTTGATAGAAAAAGCTCACAATACTCTATGATTGAGGTTCAACTGGCGAGAGTTGGAAGAGAGGCTAATTTGAATTTCCCTGAACAGATTTATTATAGTCATGAACTGTTGATGACCTCGACTCCTTGTCATTGTAATACTTCAGGCACTAAAGATGGAGGGATCACTAACTTATTCATTACTACTTATGCAACTCTTCATTTTCTAGAAGTATTTCAATGTCTAGATCTTGAGCCACGCCAGGTATCCAAGTAGGTAGTGCCACCCACACTTGGACTGACAGTATCGGCTAGTCGATCTCCCGGGGGAACTAGAGCTAACTCTTGAACACTTCATCAAGCTACCCCGCTTGTCGGTCCGTGTTCACTCTAGTCTTGGACTTCCTAGTGGGTAGCTCATCACCTAACACTGGGTACAGCCTTTTTGGGCCAAACTAGCCTTTCCTGGCCAAACTGGCTCCATTGCAGTCCTCCCCTTACTATACTTTTCTTAAGGGTGCAAAGTTTTGTTGATACTTCATCATATAAACTCCTATTTTATCATGATTTAATTTTGCTAACAGAGTTGAGTTTACCTCCGCAATTGCTATGAACTACCGATGCTGGATTTTAAGATCAATATTTGACAAGCATTATTCTACTTATTTGAGTAGAGTCAACCAAACATTTGAGCCACATACAAATGGGACAACAACAGTATTACAACTCCCACCATTATTCACTTGTAAAGTATAAAGTGAATGACTTAGTGTTAATTCGTTTTCCCAATCTTACAATATGTGGTTTATCTAAGGGGCTCTTTGCTCAGTGGAAGAAAAAACTGTATCAAGTGTTGTGGCAAGTTAAACCACAAGTTTATAAAGTTTGATATAATGCCCAATAGGCTGATCCTCTAAAAATTATGTATATATAATAGTTAAAATGATTCATATAAAGGGATTAAGAACAACTAACACCACTTGCAAATCCACCGATACCTCCTTCTAATGTTCCTTTAGATCTTAACCCATCCACTAAAAAACCTTAAATGTTTTATATCCTTCCAAAAGGAGGGGATGATTATGGTTATAATGCTGTATACTAATATTAGTATAGTGGGACTTTTAATATACATTAGATTGGTTTCAATTTAGAATACTCACTTTTATAGTTATGATATTGTATACTAATATTAGTATAGTGGGACTTTAATAGGCATTAGATTAGTTTCAATTTGGACTACTCACTTTTATATATAAGCTAAGGTGTTTAGGTTAATTGATATTTATATTTCTGTATTCTATTTCCATATTCCATGCACTCATATAGCTATATTTCATTGTCTTTATACAATTTTATAGTTGAAACATTTAAATAGGAAATACTAAAATATTATATATGTCTTGCATCTCTCTGAAAATAAAACTGTATAAAAATGTATTAAATTTAATACTCTATTTCTAGTTTTAGTTAGATTAAATTTATAATAAGTTTTAATCATAATTTGATAATATTCATTCTTCCTAAATTACCAGATTATCTAGTGTTTCATTTATTATTTAAACCAATGTTTTACAATAAGAAATTAATTATATTAATTTTTATTCAATTTCCATATAACTTAATATTACAGATGGAAATTTTTGGTTTTGTAGTTAATATATGCCAAGGTAATAAGCTCCAAATAACTTGTTGACAAACAACCTATTGGCTCTTACATTTAAAACTGATGTATTTTTGTCTGTAACAAGACTAGCCAAAACTATCTAGATTGTGAGAAGGGCCAAAAAAACTGGCATAGTGTTACCATGTAAAACAGTGCCTAACAAAGATCAAGTAGAAAGCACAAACAAAGTGACAAGAAACAGTGCTTCACTCCAAACGTTTGTGCTGGTTGCTACTCGAAATGGCTCCGTCGATCCCACTCCATCTCATCCAGCACATATAAAAGCCTGTTTCGCGAGCATGGAGCTCATCGAGAAGAACCACGATGAAGAACACTACGCGTGTTCATGTTGTAGTTCAACTCGTATTCATCTTCGTTTTTGCGGGATGGATCTTCAACTGGATCATGCTGCCAACGCAAGCTTGGTATAAGTTCTGGGGTCTCATTCTTGACAAGAACGACTCCAGGGCCTATGGAGAATCCGGTAATCATCAGTAAAGTTCTCATTTTGTATAATGCAAAAACTTACATTTGCCATTCTTATCACAGCATCGTATGCGATCCTCTACGTTGTGCCTGTGATTTTCATAGCTTTCTTCGGCAACATCTACATGAAGTACATCAAGATGTTAAGGTAAAGCCTTGAAACATTAACTTACTTATCATCTCCGGGAATGCTTTCAGGCTGCCAGACTCCATACGCAATGCTTGGTCTCGACCAGCACTGATCAAAGCGCCAATACTCTCGCTCATTTCTGGAGTAGAGCTCTTTGTTCTAGCGGCATTCGTACTCCTGTGTGCATGGTCGACATGGCGGCCGATAAAAACTTTGCTGGACAAGATCCATGATCCTGGACAGCAGTGGATTGAAGGACCCCTGTAAGATCACGATGACAGCTTCACAAAGTCAAGTTTTTGATCGAAATACCTTCGGTTTTTTTTTCTTTATAGGTGGCTCAGAAGATGTGAAATCATTGGATACGAGCTTGGTTATGCTGGACTCGTCCCGTTCGCTTTCCTGTTCTTCCCAGTCGCAAGAACCGCCTCAATTCTCCACTTGGTGAACATTCCTTTCGAGCATTCCGTCAAGTACCACATCTGGGTAGCAAACATTACTTTGGTTCTCTGGACGGGTCACTCCGTTGCTTATCTCATTCTCTGGATTCGTGCAAAAGAAACAAGCAAGGTTGGCAGCTTATAAGTTCTCGATTCAAAATAGCATACCTCTGACGAGCTCGCATGGTTTTTGGTTTTTACTCTTCAAGTTTATCAACCAAGGTGGAAGGTTCGACCTCGCTGGAATCGGAGCCTCGGTGGCCTTCGCCACAAGCCTTATCATGTGGATCACTGCAATAAAACCCGTGAGAAATCGCAAATTTGAGATGTTCTTCTACACGCACCAGCTCTACATCGTCTTCATCTTTAGCTTCGCCGTCCACGCTGGAGATCGAGGCCTGGAGACAATAGCGGCTGGTATGGTCCTGTTCTTCGTTGATAGACTCCTCAGGTACCTCCAGTCGCGGAGGCATGTCGATATGGTTTCTGCAAAGCTAATATCCTCGGACATGATGGAGCTAACCTTTGCAAAAGATCCAAGTAAGAATAGAGAAAAGAAAAGGAAAGTTATCATGCCAAAAATCATTGCTTTACCAGGTTTGCGATATCCAGCCTCGAGCATTATGTTTCTCAACATCCCAACAGTGTCTAAGCTCCAGTGGCATCCTTTCACAGTGACCACCAACTCAAACGTGGACGACTACAAGATCTCCGTGGTCATCAAATCCAAAGGATCTTGGACAAAGAAGCTCAGGAACTACGTGACCAACCCCAAGAACTATCACGTCGACGCGATCATCGAAGGCCCCTATGGACACAGCTTAGACTATCTGATCGAGTAAGTACCAAAAAAAAAAAAGGAGTCAAAAGCTCACCTTAGTTCTTCTTCTAGCTACTCGATCCTGGTGTTCGTCGCTGGAGGCAGTGGGATCACACCCTTCATCCCAATTCTCAAGGAGGTGTTCGTCCAGATCCAAACCGGCCAGAGATCACTTCCGGAAAAGATCGAGCTCATCTGGACTTTACGAAACTCGGACGAGCTCAGTGTTTTAGAATCAGTGTCACCCTGGTCGATCTGTCCAGACTTTTCCTATCTCCTCAATCTCCAAATCCACGCGTACCTCACAAGACAAGACGCCACGGACCTCAAGAACAAGCCATCCAACTCTCACGAGACAATCCTCTTCACAGGAACGCAATACGAGAAGTACCTCACGCACAAGAAACCAAAGTTTAAGGCAGTCACAGGCACGCAAAGCTACGCTCTCCACGCAGCAGTGATCCTGGCAAGTTTCGGAGGATACTTACTTCTCTCGGGAGTGATCCGGCGATTCATCGTGTTCCCGCTGGATCACAACGTCTATCACATCTACAACAAGCCTTCCACGGGGACGATCGCGCTGCTCGAGTACTTGGCGGCGGTGGTGGTGTTTGGAGGGAGCACGGCGGTGGCGTGGACGTGGTGGAAGGAGCGGAGGATTGGAGCGGTGATGGGGATGAAAATGGAGCTCCCATTCGTGGTGGAGGAGGATCCAGTGATGCTCACGGATGTGCATTTTGGATGCCGGCCAGACTATCCAGGTGAGTGGAAGAATTCTCACTCTTTTTCTTCTCGATTGATCACTTACGAGAGGAATTTGTGGGATTCCAGAGATCTTCTTCGAGCACGCGAGGAGGCGGAGGAAGGGTGTGAGCGTCGGCGTGATGGCTTGCGGGCCGCAGCAGCTCCAAGAGAGCGTGGCCGCGGAGTGTAAGGCGCATTCTCTCGGCTTCCATCCCCTAAATTTCGAGCTCTAGCGAAGAACCCTAAAATCTCTTCACATTTTTAACCTAATAAAAGCCTTTAGTTTTACTAAAGGCCCACCGAACCAAAAGACTGTTTAGCTTGCTAGAAGACCTTCGCTTGCTTATTTGCCATTCTACCACAAATCGACATTTTTTCTCGTAGCTCCACTCTACTCAAAACTTTCATGCTTCATCTATCAAAAAAAGAGAACTTGTTAGAACTCTAGCAAGAACACTTGGAAGAACTTTAAACTTGCTCACTCTTGGTTGGGCGAGATCTTTCTAAAGCGATGGTTGAGGCTGGATCCTTGCCTCCTCTCGGATGGAAGCGGCGTCCCCATTCGTATGGCTCGCTGCTGCTCAGCGATGCTCTTCCCCAGCATGAGGGGCCTGGGAAGCACTCCCAAGTTTGCGTGATCCACTCGTGCCTTGGCGGGCGACGATGGTGATGGCGTCGCCGCCGAGGGCTTGAACCACTGCGAGAGAGCTACTGGATGCAACCGGATCTTCCCCAGGCTCTCCTTTCCATTGAAACGAAGTTTAAGTTTTCTCAGCAGCGCAGCCAAAGCTTGACCGTTCCTGAAAGGAAGCAAAAAAAAAACAAAAAAAAAAAACTATCTTTATGAGAAGAACAAAGAAAGAGCGAGAAGCTACCTCCTGGTAACTGTAATGGCTTTTACTCGTCCATCCGGGAGGATCACCGATTTCCTTGTTGTCTCGAACTTTATGATGACAAAAGGAAGTTCTGCGCCTGGATTGGTAAAAAGAAACAATATCAGGACTCGAAAGGCATTTTTTTCTTCGCGTACCGGCTGCACAGCGACGCCGAAGGGCCTTCAGTATCGTAAGCAAACACACCTGTTGTGCAGACGAGCATTTAGTAATAGACGTAGGATGAAATGAGACGATACCTCCGCCGTGTAAATAGGCAGTCCATCTGCTTCGAAAACGATCGGCTCGCCGTCGCATTTGAATGCTGGCACTACACCGATTGATGAGGCTTCCTAAACAAAAAATATAAACTTTTAACAATAACAGAATCGAAACGAATTACCTCGTACAAAGCTGAGGCTCGAGGGTCGTAAACTCCAAAACCCTCCACCAAGTGCTTGTTTGGAGAGGAAGTTTGGAACACGAGACCAGTATCTGCTCTTTCGGATGACTCTGGAATTCGTAGACAAGCGAGTAGTCTCGAAAGTACTGGCAGTGTAGGCTGTGCTCCACCCGAAAGTGTCTGGCGGAAACATGCAAGGGCCCAGGAAAGCCTGCAATGTTTCCTTGATTATCCAAGTGATAGCAGGAAAACCCGACTTGAGACTTAAACTTACCATTGGCCATGCGGTTTCTGATTGTCGTCTACCATCCACAACGGGTTAACCGAGGAAGCAAGCTTCGGAGGTCCAATGGAGCTCTGGATGCCTTCCAGACAAATACCTTCGTGCACAACATGGGCTCAATACAGATTTCCAAAGCATCAGCAAGCAACATACCTATTATGTTGTCACACATAGCCAAGTTTGGAACTATACCATCCGCAATTGCGTGGGTGTACAAGTTGAGAGCGATGCCAGCCTCGTTTTCCCTGTCAAAAAAGAAAGAAAAAAAAAAACGAGCATTAGCTACGAGCAAGGGAGAATAAACATACCATGCTCCTGACAAACAGCACCTACAATGCATGCAAACAGACAAACCATCCGATCAAATAGAGAAGAATACTTCTCACAAGCCTCCAGCAAAATACTGTAAGTTAATTGATTAGGAGAAACCCCCGCTTCTTTCAGCTCTTCCAAGCTTTGGAGCGCATTCTGGAATTGCTTCCCTCGACCTGCAAGCACAACATCGCATTTAACTTATACAAAACTCCATGTACAAGCTTACACAAGGCTGTCATAAGAGCGTTAAGAGTAGAAACGCTGGGTCGAATTCCCACTGCCTGTATATTTTCGTAAAGAAATATAGCTTTCTCCCAGTTTCCTGTCTGGCCACGAAGTATTTCATCAAGTAAGTTCAAATAATTAGCATTATAATAACTCACATTGCTACAGACTCCCATTAGGGAGCTGAATATCACAGGACCAGGAACAAGAGAGTACTTTTCAACTTCTTGTAATACATCAAAAGCGCAGTTGATTTTACCAGCATGCCCAGCAACATCAATCAAAGCACTAAAGAAAATCTGCATAATACAAATCAAGTAAACACACGCAACGAAATAGGAGCACAAAATTGTTACCTCGTCTGCTTTCACACCATCTTTCTTCATATCATCGTAGATGGAAAATGCACGCTCCAAATTGCCACTACTGCTGCATGCATGAACAGCTGCTGTATAAGGCTCTGGGCATCCTCCGATTCCACGCTTGCGCATCATTGTGTAAACTTCATAGGCGGAGTCTCCCTGGAAAATTTAGCTGTCACAACAAGGCCACAGAAATCATAAAAACCGCTTACATCTCCTGCTTTTGAGCAGGCGTCTATGAGCGAACACATTGTGACGTGATTTGGATTGATAAGACTTTCAGACTTCAACTCTGTGAAAACTTCGAATGCTCTTTTCACCGCGCCAGACCGACCACAAGCGTTGATAAGCGAGTTGAAAATGACTCGATCGGGTTTTATTTTCTGTCCAACAATGGATCACGTAAAACTGCCGCTAATTGTTGAATCAAATAATGTAAACCTTTGAGAGCATGATTCTGTAAATTCCAAAAGCCTTTGCGAGTTCGCCAGTTCGGGCACAGCCATCGATGATCGCTCCGTATGTAAGAAGGTTGGCTTCAACGCCAACACTTTCCATTTCACGGTAAACCTGTGCTAAAACCAAGTTAGTCCAACGAAGGATGGGGACCAGGATTTCTTGCCTGAAAGACAAGATCCGTCTTCAGAGCCTTTGAACAAGTTGAGATTAGAGTAGTATAAATCATGCAGTCTGGCTTAAAACCAGCTCGTTTCAGTGCCGCGAAAGCTCCAAAAGCCCCTGCTTGGCATCCCATGTCATGTCAAAACAAGTACTTCAAAAAACTTAGAAAAATGCTTAATACCATTCGTATCTCTTGCGTTGCAGCAGACTGAAAGAAGCATATTATAAGTGCTAAGCGTTGGAGACTTGATCAACCCGGTGTATCTGAAAGCCTCTTCCACAGCCAATTGTCTTTTACATTCTTGGTAGAATCGTGCATGATAGACCTGCAAAACTCAGCCACTTCCTTCACTTCATCAATAAACCTGAGCAAGAAGAATAGTCGTCGAAATTACCTTGTTCATATCCAAGGTTCCTTTCTTCTCCATCTCCTCGAGAACCTCCAAACTCTCTCGAATTCTGGGATTTAGAACAAATTGTCAATGTGTCAAGCATGGAGATAAATGGAAAGTTCCAACCTTCGAGCTCTTATAAGTCTGTCGTAGGCGATGAGATCCTCTTGTCCTCGAGGCGATGGCATCCTGGTGAATTTTTTTACTGCCTGTTCTAACACGGTCTCCTCCTTGGCTGGTAATTCGGGAGTATGCCTTTCGTCGCTTTCTAAAAGGCGAATGGGACTAAACTCGGCAACCTGGGCCAAATCATCTCGGGAAGTCGACGAATTCTGGGCTGGAGAAGAGATTTCTTGAAACTCTCGCGAAGTAAATGCAGTGGGAGCCTACAATGATTTAGCGTGGAAAACTATGAGTAAAGATATGAAACATTATTTTACCTGTAGCTTCCCATGCTCGACTTCGATTTCTAGACCTCCTCGTTGCTCAAGAACGGCCACCGCTGTGTCAAACTGCCGAAAATCCTCGCTTCCAATGCCGCTGGAGCTGCCGAATTCTCGAAATTCTTGGCGATTATCCCTGGATTTGGAGGCGGCCGACGACGAATGCACATAGAACCAGTACATGGGGAGAACCGCGGCCGCCGCTGCCGTGGCCGCCAATGCCGCATCGAAGAAGAAATCCGAGTCGCCGGGGTGAGCTCCACACCTGGAGGAAGAAGATCCGCCGAAACCCTGCTTCCTCGGATGCTGGCGATTGTGGCGCGGCGAGGATCCCGTCGCCTTGCAGCATTGCGATGCCGCCCTGGATTGTGATGCTGTGGCGGACGAGGAAGAAGAGGCCGCCATAGCCACCGATGCCGATGCCGCGGCGGCCTCCATGCCCGCGCCTAAAACCTCAATCAAAACTCTCCCCCCACACAAAGTTGTTTTTTTCGCACGACCACATATTCTGGAATATTCACCGGCGTATTCTACCGTTCGTTTCTGCGGCGAAGATAAGATAAAAGTAGCCATGGTCGTGTGTTCGATTCCACTGCAATACTTATCACTTATTTGTCATTAGCAAGGAGTTGTCATTCCATTGAGACCAGGTCGGATTTTCACACAGTTTTGTGCCTTCTTGAATGTCTCTTATAAAATGATTCTAGAGGAGTTAAGAAAACTATTCTTTTTTCAAAGTGAGGTGATTATTTAAATACTAAAGTACTCCTGCCATTTATAAGAGATTTCATTAAGCTTGAAAATATATGGATGACACTTGTGATAAGCAATATTTATGAGTTCATAATAAACTTATGTATTTAGAGTTTTTATTTCATTATGATAAGCAATATTTATCAAAGAAAAATTGTAGATTTTTGTACTTTATTATTAGTATTAAAAGCTTTGCATTATCTTTGTTAAATAATATTAACCTTTCCTATGTTAATTAATTTTTAAAATTTTTCAATTTTTTTAGCTTTTAGTTTATGAATATTAAATTAAATAATAAATAATAAAAAACTATTTATAACTATTATTTATAATTTTGTAATAAATTTTCCTTAATAACTATATCTACCTTCTAAACTAGTGTGTTAATAATTTAAGTTAAACTGTGATATATAAAATGAAATATATAAGAAATACATAATGATGAGATTTAATAATTGGAAATTATAATAATATAATTACATAACAAAATAATTTAATTTATGTAAGAATTTACTATGTTTAAAAAATAAAATATATACTGATCAATATTATATTAAAATTTTTAATTATATCAAATTCATGGCCATTTGAAAATATATAATATCCATATTAAATATTAAATATTAATTTTTAATTTAAAATTGGTAACGTTTATTAATAAATATGTTTATATTCACTTATTTTCTTTGAATCCTTATTTAAAACTAATACTAAAAATCATTAAAAAATATTCAAAATATTTTTGAATATATTTAAAAAATATATATAAGTATAAAACATGATTGTACATATGTAGATTGAGTATTTTAAATTATATTGATAAATAGATAACATACTTATAAAGTTTTTAATTTTAATTAATCTTAAAAATGTTTTAACTGCTATAACGTTTTTAATTATATTATAAGTAATATTTATTTTTTACTAAAGTGGTTATGAATCAATATATCAAATTTGTCTAAATAAAATTTAAAAAAATCCAATGTACTATAATAAATATTTAATAAATAAATTATTTTTTAATTCTAGCTAAAGGATAATTTTTTCTTTCCTTTCTAAAAGATATATTTGAAACATGGGTATGGAGCTATGGTTGGGGCTGAGAAATATGCAACAAGGAATTTAATATGTCATTACTTAGATATTTATACATATTAAATTTAAGCACTGTAAAGATTTATTTTTAATTATTTCTAAAATGATATATTAAATATTTTTTTGGTCACAAATGCTAAATATATATTGTGAATCATGCTTGTGATGAAGTTTTAAATAATTTGTTTAGGTAATAGTAAGTATATAATTTATATAATAAAATGACTATTTATGTATTTTTTAGTCAATGTCAATAAATAAAAAATATATTATAAGTTTCATATTTTATAATATATTTATTTACCATATTAATTTTATGTTTACATTTTTTAAATATAGATAAAAAATGTACACCTTTATTACTGTGATTTGTCTCCTTTAAGTATTTTATTAAAGGTAATGCACTTCATCTAATATTAAGCTCCCTAACGGGCTGACTTCTAGTCAGGGGATTGTGGGTTCGACTCCCACCGTGAGTGTTTTAAATGATCCATAGAAGATGCTTTTTATACTTTCGTCGCAAGAATATTCTTGCGCTTAGGGTTCGAGGGTAGGGCAAGACAGGACGAGCGCGCCCTGGGATCCAGCTCGAATCGATCGAGCAGAAGGGCGGCATTCGGAGGAACAATGAGTAGTGGGATGTAGAATTTCGAGCAGGGAAGAATGTCGTTCTCTGAGCCTAGGAAACACCATCAGCAGCAGCATCATCACCGAGGGAATCGCTACAACAGGAACAATTTCCGGTACCAGTTCGCTGGAGAGTCCTCCGATGGTTTCGACGAGATCATCGCCGAGGATGAGAAGATCACTGACCGGCTCTACATGGAGCTCACCGAGAATTTGAAGAATCGTGCCAAGTAAACAAGCTGACTTTAGTTTTTTCCTTGCCCTGAGAGTTCGTTTTCTTGTTCTTTTTGGGCAGGAGATGTGCCATGATGGAAGCACAAGTGGCAAAACGAAGCAACGAGCTCAAAGAAGAAGCAAAAGCTTTGGCCGAGGAAAAGAGATTGGTGGCAGCTTGGAAGAAAGAAGCTGCGGCTCTCCAGGCCAAGACCGAGGCAGAGGTGAGAGATGACTACCATCGATCATTTGGATGAATTTAGTTTCCTTGTCGCAGCTAAGCGAGGTTCGACTTGAGAGGGAGCAACTGGAGCGCGCTAGCACCGATTTGGCAGTTCAGGTGCTTCTCTGAACTAAAACTTGGCGTGAGCTTTGTTCTTCGTTGCTAGTAAATTCCGGATTTGCTCCATGGTGGAGCGCGTGGATGATGAAAAACATCCCTTCCCGCAAGTTCGATTCTTGCATCCGGATGAAGGCGTCCAGTGCTGAAGAAGCTTTTACTTGGACTCCTGCTTTTACAGTCTTGCCTGGTTTTTCTTTGCCACTGTTTCTTACGTTTGATGGCAGATGGCGGAGCTGAAGAGGACGCAACGAGAAATGGACAAGCAGAAGGTATGCCTCGTTGTTTCTTCGTTTGTAGTAAGAGTTCTAGTGAAACTTTACAGACACCGTGTGCGCAGCCTATCCCTGAAACTGCACCAGAGAAAAGCACAGAGCTGGTTGCCGTGAGCAATGGAGAAGTTTTGGAAGAAATGCCGCTGGCGAAGCGCATCAAAATGAAGCATGAAGTCAAGAAAAAGGAGGAAGTTCAAGTGTTCGACAAAAGATTATTGTGAGATGCTAGCTTTTGGCTGATTCTTGTTTCACTGACATGCTATTGTTTCAGAGTTGTTCAATCTGCGCTCCAAGAGGATGCTCCCGGGCTTTTTGAGGTAAAGCTTTTGTGTTCCCTCATCTCTGAAATGCCGCGTCTTGTAGCTACTTGAGGAAAGAGGACTGCTCGATGGCATGGACATCATTACGAATGTATGGGAAGAGGGAGATGGAAATACTTCGCAGACCGAAAGCTTCAGTGACTTAACAAGCGTTGTTGGGAAGGTGCTTCTGAGTTTGTATTTTTCTCTTTGGCCGCTAACCAAGATCGTGAGGACAGCTTTGGGGAACTTCATCTCAGTTGCTCAAGGAACACCGCTCGCGGGTACAAATGGCAAACTCGTCGAAGCCTCACTATTGCTTGGCTTGTTTAGTGACCCTGATCGAGCAGGCAAGTTTGTTTTTATCCCGAGTTTTTGTTTCTTTGTTAGTTTGTTTCCATCTAATCAACATGGTTGTATGCAGACTAGGCTTCTCAAGCAGCGAAAGTGGCCCGTGCGATGGGGCTGGTGTCGAGCGCTGAATGCTTTTCTTTTTGTTTTCGAAAAGCACAACAGGCAAGCTTACTTCATTTCATGGACTCCTCAAAACAACTCGTCGCTGTACAGGATTGTGGTGGAGCGCCCGGAATACGGCTTCGCGACGTACTTTTTCGAGTTAGTTCAGTCCTTGCCAGTGAAATGGCAAGTCGATCGCCTCATCAAGGTGATGAGCTGCGTTTGCAACTGCAGAGCTGCGCTACTGGAGAATCGGCCACTGGAGGTACTTGGATTTGAATCTTTTTTGGTTTTGAGAAGAAGTTTGGTAACACGCGGGACGTTTTGATAACTCGAGGAACGTTTCAGGCTGGCAAGGATTTGCTTCCGGAAGAAGCTCGGGTGCTGGAAGACTATGGCTGGACGCCAAACACCGGCATTGGATCGCTGCTCAGCTTCTGTGACCGAGTCCTCCACGACTACAAGAGCGAGGACGAGGCCGCGGAGTGGAAGTCGAAGATTGGAAGGATGCTCATGGACGGGCACGACCACGGGAGCATCGTCTTGAAGCTCCCACGCAAGCTCGACACTGGCAATGTGAGTCTTCTCAGGTCTTTCGATCTCCCAGCTCAACTTTCCTTCGTTTGTAGATGATCGTGGTGAAACAAGAACTTGGAGACGCGCTCCCGCTGGCCATGAAAATGGAAGCTTGCTGAAAGAAGATCGCTAATTTTTGTACATGGTAAAAGAACTCTAACACTGTCCTCCTGTACAACCCTGTATAAAGTCTAAAAAAACCATGGAAATTTGAGAAGAGTATATTCTAAGTATATTTTGTGCTTTAAAGCTTAAACCCTTACCAACTCTGGAATGGTTTTAAATAAAAGTAGAGATATTTATCACCCTATGGTCAAAGTTTTTTTAATTCATGGAAACTTCTTTTTTCTTCATGGTCTTGTCAAAGCTCCCTCTCTCTTGCAACACAACACACACAGTAGCGCTTATTTAGAACGCGCATAAACATACAAAAGCCAAGAAGAAACCAAAAAGAAAAGGAGACACTAGAGCTCTCTCTACTTGACCTCTCTCAAGCTAGCGCTGGAGTTGGACCATCATCCACGACTCTTTCCTCCTCCTCACTCTTTTCCTCACTCTTCTCCTCACTTTTTTTCTCACAGTCTCCATCTCCTCCCTGGAACCTCTGCCTGATTCGATCCAACTGGCCGGACTCGGCGGTCTTGAACGGCCTCGGCCCAAGAACTTCCACCAGATCGTTGTAGTGGAGAACCTCTCGCGCCAGGAGCTGCTGCGCGAGCTTCTCCAGGCCCTCCTTGTGCTCTTCCAGCAGCGCCACGGTTCTCTTGTAGGCCCGGTCTGTCCATTCCCGGACCTCCCGGTCGATGAGCTCGCCGGTCTCGTTGCTGTATGGCTTGGACAGCTCCATGCCGTCCTCTTTCTGGGGGAAGGATAGAAGGCCCACCTTTTCGCTGAATCCATACACGGCCACCTGGGCGTAAGTTAGCCTCGTCACTCTCTCCAGGTCGTTTTGCGCTCCGGTCGAGATTTTCCCGAGCATGACCTGGAAACCAAAGGTAAGAAATGACCACCAAAAAGGTAGAAAAAGTTGACTTTTCTAACACAATGAGACTCAAGAAAGAAGAACCAAAGGGATGAAGAAAGAGGAAGAAGAAAGAACGATGGAACTCAAGAAAAGAGCAAGGTTTTTTACCTGTTCAGCAGCACGGCCACCAAGAGCCATGCAAGTCATGTCTAGCATTTGCTCTTTCGTCATCAGCAAGTTCTCGTTTGGAAAGTACTGCGCGAAACCCAAAGCCGCTGAGCCACGAGGAACGATCGACACCTTGATCAGAGGCTCCGCATGCTCCAGAAACCAGCCCGCAACTGCATGTCCTGCCTCGTGGTACGCAACTGTTCTCCTTTCCTCGGGGCTTATCACCTAGAAATCCAATGTTGTAAGTATGAAGAAAAGAAGATACCACTTAAACTTACCTTGTTCTTCTTCTCCATTCCACCAAGAACCCTGTCGATAGCTGCCTCGAAGTCCTTCATCGAGATCACTTTGTGCTCCTCTCTTGCGGCGCAAAGAGCAGCCTCATTGCAGACGTTTGCAATATCAGCCCCTGAAAATCCCACGGTAATTCTTGCCAAGTCTCCCACGAACTGCTCCGGATCCTGATCTAGCTTAAGTTTCTTGAGATAGATTCGGAAAATCTGTTCCCGGCCTTTGGCGTCTGGCTTGTCAAGAGCTATCTGTCGATCGAATCGTCCAGGCCTCAAAAGCGCCTTGTCAAGGATATCTGGCCTGTTGGTGCCAGCTAGAACCACCACCCCCGCTGTCGTCGCAAAACCATCCATTTCTACGAGAAGCTGGTTCAACGTGCTCTCACGCTCGTCATTTGCTCCAGCAAAACCGCCACGGCCTCTTGCTCTTCCGATCGCGTCGATCTCGTCGATGAATATTATACTGGGAGCACACTGCCGAGCTTGAGCGAACAGGTCCCTCACCCTGGACGGACCAACGCCAACGAACATCTCCATGAAGTCGGAACCGCTGATGGAAAGGAAAGGCACGGATGCTTCTCCAGCCGTTGCCTTTGCGAGTAAAGTTTTTCCAGTTCCGGGTGGTCCAACAAGCAGTGCTCCCTTTGGTATCTTGGCGCCAAGTTCTTCGTACTTCTTGGGATTCTTCAGGAAGTGGACAAATTCCATAACCTCTTCCTTGGCTTCGTCACAACCAGCGACATCATTGAAAGTGACCTGCAAATTTCAGGCACAATTGATAAACCGCTAGAAAAAAAGTAACTGTAGCTACATACCTTGTCCTTGGCATTTTTGTTGATCTTAGTGACGTGGGCTTTTCCGACGTTGAAAATCCCACGGCCACCCATGCCTCCAGGACCACCGCCAATACCAAGTCCACCTTGAAGTCGGCGCGTCAAGTAGAATATCCCAGCGATCAAAAGAAGCGTAGGAGCCATGCTAGAAAGCTCCTGGAGCCAGCTGACCTCCGAAACATAGATAACAGGAACAAAGTCATGGGGATCTTTTCCGGCAGCAGCCTGCGCCTCTTCTAGCTTTCGCTCAAAGGATTCCACACTCCCGATGTTTATGTAATACTTCGGCGTACTATAGACCCGAGCGGGAGCTTGTGTGCTTGAACCGGTATCTGTTTGAAACTCAGACGAGTCCTCATCAATAGACGGTGATTGAGGTTGAGTTTGTTGACCTTGAGCTACTGGCGTCTCGCGAACATATACTCTTGCGACCGCCTTATTCACAACCTCTATGTGATCAACGAGACCAGTCTCCAGAAGCTTGTTTTTGAACTCCTGGAAGCTGATCTGCTGCGAAGTGTTGATAGTTAGAACATTTTCCTTATGACTGAAAGCAATCGAAACTTTACCTGGCGCGTACCGTTGAACCTCACAGATAATGAGCTGAGAAGAATCGCAAGACCTATCGCTGTTGAAATATAAGACTGCAGTTGGGCCTTAGATACCTCCTTGAAACCTTTATCACCCTCATTCTTGGGATCCTCTGCGCAAGACAAGAATTCTGTCAGAAAAGAAAAGAAAAGATCAAAAAAGAAAACAGCACCATGTTTTTGCTCTGCTCTTTGTTCAGCACGACCCTTTGGAAGATCTTTCTTGTTCTTAGGATGATAGTTCTCATATCCTAATAGTTTACATAACATTAGACCACATTGTTTCACAAAAAAAAAAGGGAGCATACCTTTGTTTTTCGGAGCTTCGGAACAAAACTGTCTTTTGAGAATCGTTCTCCGCGGAGCAGCACCTTGCAAAGTGGCTGACAAAGGCTTGTTGCCTAGCTTGGCAAGAGATCTTTTCTCCAAGTCCACCAAAAGCTTAGAAAACCTGGAATCTGATACGAATCGCTTCTCCAACCCTTCCCGATAGCTGCATGAGGGCGCGCTGGCGGCATCGGCCGAGAATGCGCGTCCAGAGCAAGCCAAATCCTCAAAAACCTTGAAAAATCCCCAGCCTCAGCACGAGACTTCGAGCTGGAAATCCAGCGCCATACCTTTATCAGGTGCTGCCGTCGCCGCCGGACCGCTGCCACTGCATAGCGCCGAAACATCTAGACCTCGCGATCAAACAGGGCTTCGCTCCGGCAATCTGATGCTCGCCTGGGAATCACACCTCCAACACGCGCAACGCGACCGCCAGAGCACGATCAAGCATAGCGCCTTCTACCGCTGCTTCCTTCTAACCCTAGACGCCATTTGTTCTTTAGAGAGGCATGACAAAGAGAAGGGTTTTTTTCTCGAGGCTCTGACGTGGCGAGTTTTGGCGGCTAAGGTTAAGTCGGCCGGATAACGTCTGGTAAAAAGTCAAATTTCTTTACCACGCAGAAACCCTAAAAGTATATGTTAGAGCTGGAAGAAGAGCTCGCCTCTAGCATCAGGCAATGCGGCAGCCACAAAGATTTAACCAATGCCCAGAGGCTTCATTCTCTAGTCCGTAGCCATACGCTCATACGCCACAATGTCTACCTCGCCAATCTTCTCGTTCAAATGTACGGTAAGTGTGGCCACCCACACGACGCCCGTCGCGTGTTCGATTCCATGCCCCGACCAAATATTTACTCGTGGACGATTATGCTCGAGGCATATACCGAGAATGGGAATCTCGACGAGGCTAAGTGGCTGTTCGATTCCATGCCCGCCCGGAATGCGGTGACGTGGAACACGATCATCACTGCGTTTGGACAGGCTGGCCACGTGGACTCCGGGAAGGAGCTGTTTGACAGGATGCCCCAACCGGATATGGTGACGTGGAATGCCATGTTGGCGGCATATACCCAGAATGGGCATCTGGAGCTCGCCAAGGGATTGTACGACACCATGCCTGAGCACAATGTGGTCACAAGTACGGCTATGCTGCAGGCGTTTGCGCAGGGTGGCCACCTGGATCGAGCCCTGGACGTGTTCGAGAATATGCCCCAGAAGAATATGGTATCTTGGACGGCCATGCTTGTGGCATATACTGAAGCTGGGCATTTTGATTTAGCAAAGAGAATCTTCGATAGGATGCCCGAGTGGAACATAGTCTCGTGGAACGCAATGCTCCAGGCACATTCGCGAGGCGGGAATATCCAAGAGGCCGAAAAGATATTCCATGCGATGCCTGACCATGACGTCATCTCGTGGACGACTCTTCTTGTCGCACTTGCCGAGGCCGGGCAAACAGACAAAGCCAAGAAGGTATTTGAGAATATGCCCGAGCGTACAATGGTAACGTGGAACTCGTTTCTACAGATATTTGTAGAGAAGGGACACGTGGAAGAAGCCAAGAGGGTGTTTGAGAGGATGCCAAAGTGGGACGTAGTATCATGTACCACGATGCTCCACGCTTATGCCCAGAGTGGGCATCTGGAAGATGCTAAATTAATATTCGATCGGATGCACGTAAAGACTGACGTGTCATGGGCGGGAATGATATCCGTATATTCCGAACGCGGGGATCTCGATGCCGCAAACCACGTCTTTGGGGATATCCCCCGCCAGCATCTGCTGACGTGGAATGCCATGCTTTCAGCATATGCCGAGCACGGGCATCTTGACGGTGCGAAGGGAATCTTCGACAGGATGCCCGAGTGGGACGTGGTGACGTGGACGACGCTGATGGCGGCATATTCCCAGAGCGGGGACTGGGAAGGGGCCGATTCCATCTTCGAGAGGATGCCCGAGAAAGATTCCGTGGCATGGACGGCCGTGATTTCCATGCACGCTCACACTGGACGCCGCAAAGTGGCCATTGGGAATATGCTCGAGCTCCAAATGGAGGGCCTTGAGAGCGACGAGGGAGCGTTCTTGAGCGTCTTGATGGCTTGCAACCACGTTGGTCTTTTGGAAACCGGGATAAATTTCTTCCGGTCGATGATCACGGACCATGGCTTGGATCCAAAGTTTGAGCACTACTGTTGCATGGTTGATATCCTCGGACGCTCGAGCCAGCTTAAGAATGCCGAGGATCTGATCGATACCATGCCTTACCACCCGGATGGATTGGTCTGGGGAGCGCTGCTAAACGCTTGTCGACTCCACCACGACGTCGAGAGAGCCCAGAGAGCGTCGCAGGAGCTTATGGATGCCGACCCCGAGAATGGTGCCTCGCAAATTCTTCTGGCCGAAGTTTACGCGTCCTCGAGATCAAAGCGGTGGCCTCGCACTACGCCCAAGAGATGAGCCGAGAAAAACTTGTCTGAAAGACTTGCTGGACAAGTTCTTATCACTCTGTCTGTAAACGACGATTGTAAAGAGCCTTGTAATCTTCACGAGAGACCGCTGGTTTTTAAGCCTTTCGGACTATCACTCTTCTCTCTCGTTTGTACTCTATCTCGTCTCTTTGGTGCATGATTACCAAGGCTCGCCTCACCTGTATACGAGAGCTCTTAGCGATGAACTGTAATAAGCAATCTTACCGTCGGTTCGGGCATTCCCATCCGCATTAGTTCATCGATCAAGCGCCGTTCCGACATGAAGCTGCCGATTCCCATGCGCCTTTTTATTTGCGTTTCCACTTGCTGGACAAAAGCGCTCGGTTAGAATGAAATGGAATTGATTGCATTCAGATATGTGGTGACGAACCTGGATCTCGTTTCTCATTTCCGGTGTCACGGTAATATTGTCCGTTATTCCGGACCGTGCGGCATCCATTGTGGACACGTAAAACAATCTAATGGCCTCGGTGACATGCTCTTCTGTTGCTTCCTGTGAACTGCAAAAAGGCAGTAGTCGAGCGTATGTTATAGGCAAAAAAATTGGCTTACAGCTGCATTTTAGCGATGGCTTCGCTTATTCGTACGATGGCTTCAAGCTGGCGAACTGTAATCGGAATAGGAGTCGATTCTCCCGTTTGGCTTTGCTCTCTCATTTGCTGATAATTAAGGGAAACTTAGAACCTGTAGGAGCTTCAGATTTCTGCAGTACCTTTCTAATCTCGACGTAACTGTTTTGTAGCATAACTGCAGCTGAATCGGACAAGCGAGGCCTACAGCGATCTCGGCAAAACTCAATATATCTGCACGTAGGTTACAAGTTACTACAGAACGGAACTTTGAACTATTTGTGAACCTTTTAAGCCAGTTATATTTTTCACGAACATCAGCATCTTTTGATCCAAAACCTGCTGAGGCATGTACTGTTACTACGTGCCGAGCGATTTGCTGAAACACAAAACGAGGAGTAGAAAACAGTAATAAGAAATAATTTGACGTACCATGTCTCTTTGATGATCTCTTGCATCCTTGACTATAAAAATCAGATCAAATCGAGATAAAATAGTTGTCTGAAGGTCAATGTTTTCTTGAGCAGTCTGATATAAGCGGTTAGAACACCGACAACGTAAAGGTGAACTTGGTCACCTTCAAATCGTCATAACGTCCAGATGGAGGATTGGCTGCGGCCAGTACTGATGTTCGTGAATTTAAAACCGTAGTAATGCCAGCCTTGGCTATAGAGATTGTTTGCTGTTCCATAGCCTCGTGAATGGCTACTCTATACATACAAATTATATCAATAAAAGATAAATCGAGATCAGATTTCATTTACCTGTCTTCTGGCCTCATCTTGTCAAATTCGTCAATGCAAACCACCCCTCCATCGGCAAGCACCATCGCTCCTCCCTCTAAATAGAACTCTCGCTGGAACATCATACAAATTGAATGAAAAAAACAAGTGGAACAGATGGCATTTACGGAAGCCTACCGAACTCGCATCACGTATGACGGATGCAGTCAATCCAGCAGCAGAGGAACCCTTGCCAGATGTATACACAGCAATCGGCGCAGTTTTCTCCACAAATTTCAAAAACTGTACAAGGAAAACATTAGAGAAACAAGAACCAAAGCACTGAAATCCAACCTGAGACTTTGCAGTCGACGGATCTCCCAAAAGAAGAACGTTAATATCGCCTCGAAGACGTACTCCATCGGGTAGTGACTGAACCACACAATCCAGATCAAATCCCATATTTTAATTCCTGGCTGTCATGTGCTAACCTTACGAGAACCTCCGAACATCAGACATGCTACGGCCTTTTTTATGTCGTCGTGGCCGAAGATTGAAGGTGCAAGAAGATTGCAAACCAGCTGGTACGAGTCGGGCTTCCGAGAAAACTCTTTAAATTCGTTTTCCTGAAAATCAAAAACGAGTTAAAAGGACGCATTGTATTTTGTTTTTCAACCAACCTCGTCAGCTGTAAAAGAAGGCGCGCCTCTAGAATTCCCCTCTGCTGCATGGTCCATTCCCACAACTCTTAAGTAAGGCTGTCTGATTGCCACAGCTCCTTTTTGCCTGGACTTGACAATGTTAACCAGCGAAAGACCTTTTGAAAACACAATCTCACGTAGTTGCATTTCCGGTTTGGAAGATGCTATATACTCCAAGAACTGTGACCCGAGTACCAGGAGCAGTCTTTTGGACTAGATTTCGATCGGCAGCTAGCAGAAGGTTTCTAGGGAGCTCCCCGGTAGGAACATCCTTCATATGGAAAACCTCAAAAAAGGACCAAAAATATGTAAACTGTTTACCTCAGGATTCTCTTGTAACTTCAGCGTTTGTTGATCGACATATTTGCTCCGGTCTGGGATCACAAGCCATGGATCTATAGGACATGGTTCTTCACCAGGCTGCATTTAAACTTCTTAGCAATAAGAAAAACTCGCAAAAAATGAAACCAACCTGAGGAACATGATCGCAAGAGCGTGGCATCATGGCTCCACCGAGACCAGGTCTGCATGGAACTACCTTCACGTTTTTACAGTTTCTGCAGCACAAAGTCACAGCAGTGGCTTTGGCTTTTGTCCTTGAGGCCGCGATTATGATGCCAGAAACTTTTACCAGCTTCGAGATCCAGCCTGCCTGTATCACACACAACAAGAACACAGATTAGAACCAGAGAGAAAAGAGTTTCATCACCCCAAGAGTTCGTATCGATGACACTAGTTCTTTGGAGGCGAGTAAAACTTGGACTTCGCCAGTATCAGGCTCGGCCATTTCACCGGTTTCAGCAGCGACTTTCGATTGCAAACTCGCGACTACTTCTGCCGCAGCACTCTCGAGCTAAAGAAAAAAAAAAGATAGAATAAATACTTGCATATAAACGAATCGTACCAGAGGTAAATAATCCGTGGGAAAATTCCGGACTTTCTCCGCCAGATCTCCATCGAAGAAATGCAGGTCCTCGATCGACACTTCCACAGATTTCGGGTTGTGAAGGAGACTTTCCCTGACAAACAGAAATTATTGCCTGAGCAGCACAAAGGGTAAAACGGGCACCTGTAGGTGAAGCTCCCATCTGGATGAGAGTAGCTCCTGAAGAACTCCTTGAACTTACGCTGGGCGGAATGGCGCGTGACCTCAGGGGATCCATCCTGCTCCGGGTACTGCGCCTGATCGCTGTAGAACACGGCGCCCTCGTCCCACCCAGACATTTGGGAGAAACCCTAGACCCAGAAAATGGCGGGAATAACCAATATGGCGGGAAATTATTAGATTTGCTTTATACTTAAATTATGCTAGGTGGTTGGCAAATTTAATGATTTCAAGAGGTTTGTTGAGATTAGTTATGTTTGCTGTTTAATCAACTCCACAATTGAAAAACATTCTCTTGACCAAACATGAATGTCTTAACTATAACTTAGAGGCATTCGTCAGTATCACAAGGTTCTTCCCTTGTCCATGAAGGGCTATTACAAACTGATTGAATTAATCAATCCCAAAGATTACGTCAAATCCCGCCATGTCAAACATGGTGAAATCCATGTGTATTTTCTATATCCCTACTTTGATTTTCGCTTGTCAAAGTATTTCATCAATGTTTTGGCTACCTTAAACAAACTCTATCGTCTTTGGTTCACTCAGCCGCTGCACCGTTAGTCTAGCTTGCTAGATTATGTTTGCAGCCACAAAATTATCCAAAGCACTTGTGTCAATAAGGATATTAACAAAGTTACCTCCGAGCTTCCTTCGAAGGGTTAGTAGATGTCGTAAACGACTTTCTACCAAAGTTGCTCGTGTAATGAGTAATTTTGAGCTAGGGATTGAATCACATACCTTAATTTGGATTTCACTCGACTTAATGGTTATATTTGCTTTAGCCTTCTTTGGGTAGGAACATTCCATCGAAAAGTGTCTCGCTTCACTACAATTGTATTATATTTATTTCCCATGCTGCTAGTAGACTTGACTTTTTTATCCATGGGTTTGTCTCTTTTTGCTTGACTCCCCCACGTATTTACTCGCTGGCCACCGGATTTGCCTTTCCGGAACCCCAAACACTCATTTTTAGAAAAACTCTTCTTGAATTTCCATTTGCTATATGTTCCCTTTGGTTTGGCCCCTTTGTTAATTATGGACCCTGACCCCATCGTGTTCTCCTTTTGCAAGTTATCATTGAAATGCACCTTGATAGCCGCATTCAACGCTTCTTTGTAGTTGGTCGAGTTTCAACGCATCACCTCACCACAAGCCCAAGTTTGCAAGCCTAATATGAAGGCATGGAACACATTCATATCACCCATATTTGTGACAAGTATCCTCTTTGCCATAAACCCATTCATATACTCTTGAATGGTTCTGGTCTGCTTCAGCCTACTCAATTCATCCCTTAGATGCAGAGTAGCATTCGGAGGAACATAAGTCACACGGATTTTCGCCTTCATCATTTCCCAAGTGGCCACAGATCCTTCGTTGGCATCTGTTGTTCTCCACCAAGACTTGGCATTATCTGCCAAGTATGGTTTTGCATATAGGACCTTCTCCGAGCTCGGTAACTGCAATACTCGGAAATAGTCTTCCATATCATAAAACTAATTCTCCACCACCTTATAGTCATTCACTCCCTTGAAGACCGGCGGGGACTTTGGTTTGTACTTGGGAACTACCTAAGGGACTGATTCCACTTCAGTTTGTTTGACCTTGTTTGGTTTTGCTGAAGGGTCTGCACCTTCTGTGCTGCCAACATCTGCAATCTTTCACTTTCTCTTTTGCTTTTCGTCACGCTTTAGCTTGCATATGAGAATCTCCAGCAAGGTATTGGTTTGTGCCAATTGTCTTTCTAGAATGTCCAATCGAGCCTTGGACGACTGAATCTCATCATTAAACCTCTATTTAGAAGTTTCTTCACTGGAGTCCTCTTCATGCAAAGATTCCTCATCCATAGCCTTTTGTTCAACCAGAGGCTC